AAGTGGACTCAATTTGCACAATTTCTGGCAGTCTGCAAAGGCCCTTAGGCTGCATCTGCACTGCTGAAGTAATCTGGTTTGATTCCACTTTAACTGTCATGGCTCCATGCTATGGAATTCTGGGATTTGTAATTTGTTGTGGCCCCAGAGCTCCACAAACAAAGTATTATTCCCAAACCATTGTTGCCAGAATTCCAAAGCATGGAGCCATGGCAGTTAAAGCGGTGTCAAACCAGATTATTTTGGCAACGTGGATGCAGCTTTTGGTACTCGGCCTGTATACTGAATCAGAATATACAAATGGGAACAGGCTGGCTCTTCCTAAAATAAAGTGAGCAGATCTGGGATGTAAATTTGTCAGGAATTTAAACAAAATATTAACGATGTAGAAGTTGGGAAGTTGACTGATTTCTGTTTCAGGGGCCAAAATTTCTTGTCCCTACTTGATAAAAGAAACAACAGTTCCTTTTCATGTGTGTGTGTGTGTTTAATGAGTCTCAGCATGGAGTAGTGGTTTTAGTGTAGGACTAGGGCTCTGGAAAACAGGGTTCGATTCTCCGCTTGGCCATGAAACCCACTGGGTGACCTTGGGTTAGCCCCAAGCAAACCTCATGATAAGTTTGTATTTGTTGTTGTTGTGTGCCTTCAAGTCATTTCCAACTTACAACGACCCTATAATGGGGTTTTCTGGACAAGATTTGTTCAGAGGTTTGCCAGTGCCTTCTCCTGAGGCTGAGAGTGTGTGACTTGCCCAAGGTCACCCAGTGGGTTTAATGGCTAAGCTGGGAATTGAACCCAGTTCTCCAGAGTCATAGTCCAACACTCAAACCACCGTGCCATGCTGGCTCAAATTCGCAGTAGGGTTGCCATAAGTAGGAAACAACTTGAAGGCACACAACAACAATGGGTTTAATGGAAATCCTAATCCCTGTTAGTTGTAGATGCATGTAGGGTTAAAAGGGTGGTGATGGGTCCTGTTGTTATTCCAGATTAGTTAATATGGTGTAGATGTCTTGAAATATTTTATATTCTGCCAGTGCAGTGTCTGGGAAACCAGGGCTTCATTCATGCCACACAATTATAGCACTATTATTCCACTTTAACTACCATGGTATCCGTCCCATGAATCCTGGGATTGGAAGTTTAGGGAAGGGGGTATTTCGAATTCTCAGCCACGAAGCTCTGACCAAACTACAACTCCCAGTGTCCCATGGCAGTTGAAATGGAATAACACCCATGCTCTCAACCTACTCATGGCAACCTCATGGGCCACCCTAGGTCAAAAATGACTTGAAGGCACACAAGAACAACAACAAAATGATGTGGCGTGAATGCGCCCAGCCAGGGTTCAAAACCCTGCTCAGCCATGGGAACCCATTGGGGT